AGAACAGTAGTATAATTACAAAAATTATCATTGAATGTGTCTTTTATTAGCCAATGTATCTTTATTTAGTTAGTTTGGTCATTGAATGTGTTTTAAGTTTGTTAGATTGATCCATGAAATTACTAACAGAAGACATACTTTGGGATGTTTTTGAAGTTTCAATAAGCTTAAGGTTCCTGCCAGTACAAAGAAACAAACAATGTTAGTCATTGAAGAAGAAGAATAATGTGTTAAAAAATACTTAAATTATTTCACAATAATGGGTTATGTCTTGTTAGTTATTAAAGAAGAATAATGGGTTTCTTGTTGGAATAATGCTTTTTTAAACATGCCATCACGAACATACCCAGAAATCAAAGTCAAAGGGTTCCAAGAAACGACATTTTGTTCAAGAATTTCATCAAAAAGTTGTGGATGTCATTGAAAGAATGCATATAACATAAAATTGGATGAGAGAGGTAGAGACATAAATATTGAAACAATTATACCCAGAACCTAAAAAATTCATTATGTGTATATTTTCATTATGTGTTTCAAAGGATATAAATTTTTTTTAGCTTCAGTTTTAGAAGAAGATGGAGAATATATTAAAATCTAGAAAACCTCTTTTAATGACCATTTTTGTGTCATTAAATCGGTCATAAATTGAATCCAAAATTAATGATAAGAGATGGAAAATGGTATTTGGCCTAAACAAAAAAAGATTATATTAATTTAATAAGTAATGGTAGGACCAGAGAAAACATAAGAGGGCCATGAACCAAAAATAAAGATTGTTGAATGAATATAGACCTTGAATCAATGTTTAAAGCCCAAAATGACATGTTGGGCAGGAGAGAAGACATGGAAATATCCTCCACCCTTAGTGGGCTTAGAACTTGACTTCAACCTGCCCATAACTCCAACATGGATAGATAAGAGAATAGAATGTGGCTGCCCTACCCCAAAAAAGGAAAGATGGCTACCTCCACGTCTTTCCATGTTAGAGGGTAGAAACAACCAATCAAAAGGCTCCCCCACACTTATGCGGCCATAATGGAGAAAATGATGCCTAAATATATTCATAATGATCGATAAAGGAAAATAAGTATGAAAGGCCTAAATATATTCATAATGATGCCTAAAGGAAAATAAGCCTACATCTCATTCTTAGCCTATATTTATTGTAGGCTCCACACCTCAAATATATCATATACATTGGGTCTTTGCTTCTAGACCACCGCGAGCAGAGCACTGTCGAGTTCAGCAAAAATATTTATCATTCATCTTGGTATCGAGTAAAAATAATATATCGACCACCCAATAATTGATTCAACTAATAATATGGCACGATCAATGCCCTCACTGAATGAAATTGATATCTTAATCGTAACTTATGCAACTATGGATAAGTTGGGGCATCAAACGAGGCTTAACAAACACATGTAGAAGAAATCCAACAAGAATATGTACACAAGGACGATCCTAACAAAGACAACAAGAATCTATCAACACAGTGACAACAATCATCGGGGTTGCAAAAACACAAAATGCAAGCTTTTTCTTAAATATCCCGGAAGAAGTGACACTTAGATGGTGAAAGATCCAACCCTGACACTCAATATCTAAATACTCATATTTGTCCCGAAAGTTGGTAAGTAATTTTTTAGGAAGTAAGTATCGAACGATAACAGCTACCAACATGTTCAACATTTGTCAAAATATTTCTAAAATCTTGAAGGGGTACCTAATATGACTCAACAAAGTCATATGTATTGGTCAAAAAGTACAAATGTGTGTGGTAATCCTATGCAGGTATGAGATACTCATAGGCCTTAGTAAATGAGGGTGGTTAGGGTTTGCCTTTGGCGGAAAGAGGCCCTATTTTGTGATGTTTATGATGTTATGTGTATAAGCATTATGTTTATGGTGTAATGATATGTCCCTCTCATCTTGTAGGGGATATGTATTTATAGAGGCTCTCTTGGGCCTAAGTTACATAGTTAATGGGTGATTATGCCCTAGCTATATGACTAATGAAGTTGTCAAGGAAAGACCTATTCTTTCTAGAATCATGGAGGAAGTGGTTTCCCCCTTTGATTTTCTCTTTGGATTAGGTATCATAACCTAAGTCCAACAAGAGGGGCTTATCCCTTCTTTGGGCTAACATGTGTTAGCCCTAGGGGAGAATCTCGCCCCTTCTATGAGATTCTAGGTGCTAGCCTTGGGGGAAGGCTCCCCGCCCCTTCTTTAGGCTTCCAAATGCTATAAGTATATATCTTTGGAAGGACTTGTTCTCAACAATAATATCAAATGATGATAGAAGTACATATCATGTCAATAAAACCCTTAGTAGTCTGCCAAAGAAATTGAGACCAAATGTAAATACTATTGAAGAAGTAAAGAATTTAAATACCTTATCTCTTGAAGATCCCATTAGCTCCCTCTGGAGTTATGATATAGATCTAGATAAAGATCAACATCATAGGAATTTGAAGTTTATTGCTTTTAAATTCTAAAAGAAACAAAATCAAGGATTTGAAAGCTATAGAATCCAACAATGAAGATCCTAAAGAAGTATTAGAAGATAATGAACTTTCCATGGTCTTCAGAAAAATGCAGTGTCTATGTTCCTGAAGGAATAAGAAACTTTCTGGAGGTTGAGAAAAACAAAAGAAAGAGGGGTTTGAATTGGATTTTCAAAAACTTTTTCTTTTAGAAATGCTTCTCACAAACAATCAATGATAGACAAGCTAGAAAGAAAAATGACACAATCAGTTTATAAAAGTTTACCTTAGAAAATGCTACCCTTGTCCACCTGCCAAGGTGATTTTGCCTTAGAAAAGGACTTAATCACCTAATCTTGAATGATTACAAACAACATCTAAGAGTTTAGAAAAACACCTTAGCCCTCTCAAGTGTAAGAACAAAAAGTGTTTCTACATTTGGCCTTAAGATTTTGATGATAACTTTACATGTTATCTTTAAGAACAATTGTATACTCTAATGGTTTGTTCTAATGTGTAGTTGCTATTGTAATATTTTGACTCTAGTATCAGGGTGTGTGGCGTCATCAAGTTCTGAACATACACTACTGGAAGAAAACATGTGGTTATGTGTTATACTTGAAGTCGATATTTTGAATACGTGTAACACCCTATTTCTACCCGGCGGATAATAAGAAAATCAGAGTTCAACATAAATAGGATGCTACATTTTCAACTTAAAATCAAACTTCATTTAATCGCATATAAAACAGATACATAACACTTAACTCGGATGAACCGATAACAACCTGATTTATTCTTTAAAATCAAACAACTTTTTTATTGATAAGCAGCGGAATCTATATACTCAACTTCAATTCACTTAACATCTTTTATTCAACTAAAACAACCTCAAGGCAACAATTATTTCATGTAATCAACTTAAAATTCAGCAACTGAAATAATAATCAACAACTAAACATCAAGCGTTCATCCCCACGAGTGCTACATATCAGAGCGACAACACTGACCCAAACTGACAAAGGTAACAACTATTCTTCTTGATTACCTGCACGTTACCAACATAGGGTAACATTCAAACATAAGGGGTGAGATATCGAACACTATAATAGAACGTATGATAAATATTACACTAGAATCAGTTCATGCAGAAATCACCACTTCACAACTTATAAACAACAACCATCACAATAGGCTATCAACAAACACAACAACTAATTCATCATCACAACAGCTTAATTATACAACTTGGAATGCGACTCAATACTATGCAAATGCATGTGATACCATTGGAGCAGAACTCCCATCTTAAAAACGGAGTAGAAATCACTTCTTAATAATTGCCAATTAATAGAGGTATCAACAAGGCATAAGCCTTCTTCGTAGTTTACCAATCCAGGCCATCACAAAGTATGCAAATGTATGTGACTCCATGAATGCACTATCACATACTCACAACAATCACCATCCATCGTAAGGCATAAGCCCATATCACCATTATTACCAGTAATTAGAGGTAATTCATCATCATGTAAATTCCCTGCAACTTCGCATTATCAACGAGAATTCACAACAACAATCACAACATCACAACAACTAATCATAAATCAACATTGGCCATAAGCCTATCACATCAATCAATAATTAAATCATTAACATAATTAAACAACAACTTACATAATTCACACAACACGGTTAACGACCAAAACGCAGCATGTACTGGCAAAAGGGGTAAGGAACTACGTGCCCCTCAACATGCATAACAATTAGGACAGCATAACAACTAATATATACTCCTCGACACGCACTGAGAAAAACAGGGCAACGACTGACCTATGCTCCTCGACACATCCTGCAACTTAATTCTGCTCGAAAATCCAACGCATCATTCCCTGACACGCCTCACATCCTAAAATGCCGCTCGGTACCTACTACTTCAGTATCCTCCCCGACCACTAATTCGGCCAACAATGCAGTCTCGATATAACGTCTTAACGACCACACCACTATAATTCATAACTTCCGGCCAACCACTCAGAACAACACAATAACGGGCAACTATATTCCTATCGACAAATTCGT